TTTGCAACTTTGCCTGGTTTCAGTATGGGAATAGGTGAAACTGAGCTTTCCTGTAAGCTTTTGGCTTTCTTTGAACCCCAAACTCAGCTCTAAATCTGGGGACAGGGAGCAATTGTTAACCCACATGGATTAAAACCCAACAAAATGTTGAGTGAGTTTTTGCAGAATGAAACAGCCGAGTTTTACTTGCTCTACTCTTTGTGCTCCAGAGTCAGAAATAAATATCCACTACTGCCCAAAAACTCATTGCCTTGGTTTATTTGGTAAGGGTGTCTCTTCCAAGGGTAGCCGTAAGTATATGGGTTATGCATAAGTTCTGCTTTTAGAATGGAGCAAATCCTGGCAGAGCTGAGGGTCTGTCTCTAGTTCTGTAATTACTGTACAAAGCAAAAGTTTGGATCTTTTGTTGCTTGCGTGTCACAGCACTTTTCAAGTTACCACTGGTGGATGAATCAGTAGAATAAATTTCCTAGATTAACTGCTGGGGGATGGGAAAAACCTTGGTTAATGATCTGTTATTTCTACAGTATTGTTTTTATAGTTATGTTTTAGTTCTGCCATAGCTGTGCATGGTGCTTTACAGTTAAATGAAGCAGCTCCCTGCTCCAACTAGTTTACAATCTAAGGGCCACATCCTGCAAACCCTTTCTTATTTGAGTAGTTTCATTGGAGTTCATAGGGCTATTAGCATAGGCCCATATATTTAAAGACATGTAGGCATTGCTGTGCTCATTTTCAAAAGAGATTTAGACACTTGGGAGCCATTCAATGGGATTTAGGCTTTGAAGTGCCTAAAATCCCTTTTGAAAATAAGATTTAGGCTCCTAAATCAGTTAGGCATTGCAACACTGAGTGCAGCAATGCCTGAATACCTTTGAAAAATCTGGGTCAGAAGGACTACTAACCTGAGTGAGGCTTTTGTAGGATCAAAGACTGTAAGTTATGGGTTTTAAAAATCAAGAAAACATTGTCTGACTCACCCTTAATAACTTAATTGTCTGTCTGATGCATGTCCAAAAATAATCCAAATAAGATTAAAGAACAATAAAAAGTTTTTATTCCCAAAGGGAAAGAACAGTCAGACTTTCAACACCACAGATGTTTTGGCCTGCAGTTACCCTTTGTGCTGTGTCAGAATGTAATAATTAAAGGGACATGGTCAACCAAAAACTCACTTCTTTGAATTCCTTACCTGTGTTAAATAGCAACATCTTAGATTGTTAAAATGGAAGGAATTTTAAAAATCAATTTTGCTTTGCACCATTTATGCTATGAACTGCATGCAAAGAAGTAAAGTTTGAAGTGTAAAACTAGGTTGGTCTGTTTCATTCTCATTTCTAATCAGTCTCATTTTCTGGTTCTCAAGCAATAGCACAGTGCTTTTGTTTTCTGTGCGTAGGCTCAGACTTTAAAAAAAATCACTTCACCTTTGCTTTCACCTCTGCCCTTTTGTCTTTGCTTTCCATTAACGCTGTATTAACAGGGGTGTCATATGTAAGACACAGGAGGTAATTGTCCCACTCTATTCAGGAGTACTCAGATGGGGTACTGTGCTCAGTTCTGGGCATCACATTTCAGCAAAGATGTGGACAGACTGGATAGAGTCCAGAGGAAAGCAACAAAAATGATAAAAGGTTTAGAAAACCTGACCTATTAGGAAAGGTTAAAATAACTGGGCATGCTTCGTCTTGAGAAAAGAAGACTGAAGGGGGGACCTGATAAGTATTCAAATATTTTAAGGTCTGTTATAAAGGGTGGTAATCAATTGTTCTTCATGTCCAGTGAAGGTAGGACAAAAAGCAATGGGCTTAATCTAAGGCAAAGGAGATAAAGGTTAGATATTAGGAAACACTTTTTAACTATAAGGGTAGTTAGGATCTGGAATAGACTTCCAAAGGAGGTTGTGGAATTGCTGTCATTGAAGGTTTTTAAAAACAGATTGGACCAACACCTGTCAGGGATGGTCTAGATTTACTTGGTCCTGCCACAGTTCAAGCAGCTGGACTTGATGACTTCTCAAGATCCCTCCAGCCCTACATTAATACAATTCTGTGATTCTATGAGCACACACACGATAGAGTATTATTTGCATGAATACTCAAAGTGAATTTGAATTTTGCACACTAAAATAATTGCCGATTGTTTTAAACTGACAAAACCCTTCATGAGAGCCCTGATGCAGAGACAATTAAAAGATCTGACTTCACCCTTTGCAAGTAGTACAGTGCAAGCATCTGCAGTTAGTCTGGGTAAACAACTAACAATTTTCAACTGTGGTGAAAATTACAAATCAATAAATGCAAAATGCCTAGTATATTTTATTGTGGATGTCTCACTGTTTGACACAACAGTTAGTGTTCCCTAAACTCATGGCCAGATTCCTAGCACATGAGCCGTACTGTCAGCTCACTGCCTCCTTCACAGCTAGAATCACAGACTCACTTACTTTGTGTGTATGTGATAAGAAAAAAAATTATGTAACCTCAGAACCCCTCCACTAAATTTTACAGTAGACGGTTTTTTCTAGGAACGATGCCTTTGGCAAGGTCTGGCTGATCCGGAAGGGAAAACGTTTAATGTTTCAAAAATTTCCCTGATCCTGTTTATCTACTCCAAAGCCCAAATGGCTTCCTCGCTCTTTCTTTTGCATATAGGAGTTATAACCAAGGAACAGAAACAAAGCAATGGGACTTTTGTGACTATGGGACTTTTGTAACCAATCACAAAAGTGGAATATTGAGTAGCCAATACTTGCAGCAAACTGTTTGTGATCAATCCACAGAGAAAAAAACAAACAAATAATGTGGGGTAAATTTAAGTTAAAAACAAATGTGAGGGAATCATGATCTGCTTGTAAATTGTCCTCAAGCAGAAAAAGAAGTTACATGTATCAAGGAAATTACTCCCAAGGAAGCATTCACTCAGCTCTAGCTACAGCACCACAAGGGATATAATTAATCAGAAAAATTAAGAGTAATTTACTGAGATTTTACAAAAATCCATCTTTAAATACATACCACTAATATTAGATTCTATAAATCCCTTCTTCGGTCTAAAGCCAGCTGAGAGTAATCCTTAATAACCAATCCGAACAGTCCTATATCGAAAGTCTGTTGAAAGCAGGCCAACCAATCAGCAGCCTAATGACATCAAGAGAAAAAATATACCCTGCACTGAAGATTTAGTCCTGATTGTGACGCCAAAGGTATATCTTCTGATGTCATTTCTCAGGCTCTTTACTGATTGGCTGCCATGTATTGAATAGGCCTTTTAGATGGATTAGCTGTAACCATTACTTTGGCCCATCAGTGTGGGAAGGCCCTTTGGCCAAACCATCAGTGCTGTGGGGATGGCAGCTCTTTCTCGTGGGTAAATAAAAGCTTGGCTGAAGCAGTATAGGTTTGTTTAGATTTTTGGGCACATTTTAGACTTGGTTTGTAGCTCTTTAGGGTGATTATTTTGCTGGTTTTACCTCTCACACTCAGTGACTATTAGCAAAGAGAAAAGCACATTCTTTCAGTGCAAAATAATATTTTCCTTAATCTAAACTAATGTAAAGTCTCCATGGCAGCATCTACTAGAAATGTCCTTGCTGACTATTCCCAAGGGGCAGTGCTCTGGGCAGGGTTACAGGACACTGTGATAAAAACACCTGAGTCAGCCTGCACTAGCTCTTGTCCATTTGTGCAAGCACCTGTGGGGAAGTGCTACCTTTTGGGAATAATGGGTACATAGATGCTGGAACTATGGGTGCTGGGGGGGCTGCCGCACTCCCTGGCTTGAAGTGGTTTCCATGTATATCCATTACAATCCCCCACTATAAAAATTGTTCCAGCAGCCCTGAACGGGTAACAGCATTTCTACTGCAGGCAAGACCTGTGTGAGAGAGAACTCAATGTGTCTTTCACTGTAAGATCCTCCATTTTAAATTCTCTCTTAGCCCTAACAGGCAGGTAAGTGGACTTCTTTCATAGAAGACAGAATACCACTGTCCTACAATTTCCTTTAGCTCAGTCTATTGCTGTTTGCAATTTTAAAGGAAATAGTTTCGATCTGTTTCAGTCTCAGTCGATTTCAATCTCCAAATATTCAGTTTATAAATGCCAGATAGAGAAGATTTATCAAACAAATCTCACACTCTTCCTTAATTAAGATAGTATTAAAGCATGGAGAACGGAGCTGTCGAGGCAGGTATTTAGGTTAGGGATGTGTGTTTGAATAAAAGAATACACTGCCAAAATCATGTAATCCATACTCCCATAGATACTGTGTTGCTGCAGTGATTCCCCCAAAAGACTAGGCCAAATTCAGAGGTGCTGTGTAAGATTTACCCTTTACTCTGGAAGGGAGCTCAGATACCTGGTGATGTGCTTTGCCTAAGACTCTGTATGGAACAGACTAGAGAGAGACTAGAATAGGTAGTTTAGGTTACATATCAGGAAGTGAGTCCAAAGGAGTCTAAGTTGGCTTAACATAAATAGCAAGGAGCCAGAAGAAGCTGTAAGTTAAAATACACGGTAGTTATTTTAATTCCCACCTTTATTACACTCTCTGGAAGATGCTTTTCCTATTACACTCCTCTCTTCTGGCCCCTTGGAATGTGACACCAACCTGGGCTCCCTTAAATCCAATTACTCCTTTTTCCTGACATGTAAGGTATGCTCCTTTATGCATCACCTCGGAATCTGGCCCTCTATGTAAAACCCTGCATGTAAGCAGTATTTTTTAATCAATCCAATGAGCCTTTCAATACATAAGGATATAGAGTGCTAGAGAGGGGCTTAATAAACAAAGTAAAAGAAATGTGTTAAGGGAAAAGAATGCAATAAAATACTGAGTGATTTAAAGTTTCCCCAAATGCTTGGAGTTTAGTGTCTCTCTCACTCCCAGGCATACAGACCCATGCAGGTGAGATGTGGTAGTTTAGATATATGTCTGAGTTCATTTCTGTATATAAAAATACATTACGAGCCTTCTAGCTTTCTCTTTCCATTCCCTAGATCAGAATTTGCAGATTTCTGAAAACCTCTTTGAAACGGAGTTTGCTGCTTGGATGCAGCCTCACAAGAAGTCCCATGTCCTTTCCCATCCGTGCGCTGTGATGCAGGAGGCCCCCATCAACTTTTCCAGGGAATTTCCTTACAGGTAAACAAAACATTCAGTAAGCCCAGAGAAATCCAGGTTCTGAGCCAGCTCACTCTTCCTTTGCAAGTGAATTACTCAGCGGGAAACATTAATGCTTCACAGGCTGAATGTAAAAAATAAAGGCCTTTTCTGAGTTGCATTAGCTTTGTAATAGATTGATTTGAACATGTGGGGAGCAGCAGCACCATCCTCGCAGCATTCAGTCATTTTTTGTTTTTTGGAAGACCAATGAGATGAGTTCTGGGTGCAAGCCAAGGGTTTGAATGGGACAGTGCAAGCACTGGAGAACTGTTTTCCCCCCCTCTGCATTTCCCTCTTTCAGTGATTCCTTTAAACCCTCTCCTCACACTCAAGCCTCCAACAGGCAGCCTCCCAGCTGAGGGGAACTGGGCAGGAATCCTTTTAGAACTCAGCAACGCTGCACTTTGGTCAAGAAAGGAGTATACACGGTGCTTCATGAAAAAAAAAGGAGTACTTGTGGCACCTTAGAGACTAACAAATTTATTTGAGCATAAGCTTTCGTGAGCTACACCCTAGTGAGGTGCAGTATTTTGAACCTTAAGCCATGTTACAGTATCTATTGCTGCTTCTGTTTATGTTGTAATACCCAGAATGTGCTAGGTGCTGTACAAACACAGAACAAAACATGTAGTCCCAACCTCAAAGAGCTTCTGCCTAAAGGTAATGCTAAGAGGAACAGGTTTTTGCTGAATACTGCAGAGCTCTGAGGCCAGTAGAGATGTTTAATAAAATAATTTGTCCCTTTGTGACCTAATTTCTTTTCATAGCTACCAAAGTTCATCCTTTTCAGGATACTGGGCCAGTCACTAAACAGAATCCTCCAGGGTGGAAATACCTTGTTTTACTCTAGCATCTGAAAAGGAGTACTTGTGGCACCTTAGAGACTAACAAATTTATTTGAGCATAAGCTTCATGAAACACTCTCTCCCAACACTGTGCAGGCACTGAGCTTGCTGCCTCTGCAGCACTTTTCACCTTTTGCTGGTTGTAGGATTTCCTAGTTTGACAAGTGATCCAAGAGTTCTTGCAGAACACTCCCTTTTATGGCAAAAGTTTCACTCGGAGTCTTTTTTCTATAGGAAGGGGAAGGAACATGGGCTAGCTGCTAAAGAGGGGACTGGGAATCAGGACGCATGGGTTCTGTTCCTTGGTCTACCAGCGACTCACCATGTGGTCAAGGGCAACTCACTTCACCTCTGCGTATCAGCTGCTCCTTGTGCAAATTAGGGACAATGTTTATATTCCTCTCTGCCAGAGAAGAAAGATGCCCATTCATTGCCATTTGTCTTCCTCTCCTGCCTCCCCTTGCACTCCCTGAGATCAAGAACATTCCAATGCACAGAGGGTTATGCCAATGGAGAAGGGGATTCCAGAATCCTGAACTCAAGTGTATATCCGGGTTGAGGATTAAAATCCAGTCCTCCTGTAACATGAGACTGTGAGGACTGTTTCATATTGCAGTTGCTTACCTGTGTCTGATTCCTCACTTGTTTAAATCAAATGATCATGTTTTTCACCCTTGCAGACAGAAGCACTGAACAATAAGTGTAGCCCTATAACCAAAAGAGGTTCTGTTCCAGGAAACTCATGGAAACTACAAGGAATTTTCAGTTTGGGGCAGGAGGAAGCTACCCGACCTCACTCAGATATTTGCGTTGATTCCGAACATTGCGTTCCAGCCCTGGGCTGGAAGCAGAGGCTGCCTCTTCCAATGCCACTTCTAGGGCAGAGCAGTATCACTGCACAGTATCAAGCAGCCACTGAATCTGATTTTGGGAGAAGTTTAAATCCTTAGGCAATAGTTTTCCGTTAGAGATCAGTTTCTTAGGGGAGCAATGGTCTCCCCTGAACTGAGATTTCCAGCTGGACCCTATATTTTTTGATTCTTAAGTATGCCTTAATAACTCATGTTTTCATCTTGTTTTTTTAATCTTCTTTTACCCCCATTATTTGAAAGTAATCTAATGTGATATTATAGACTAGCCTGGGGACCTGTGACCACACATGACCTGGAGGCAAAACCGCGTTACCCAAGGACGATGCTGGGCTTGTTTAAAGACGGCAAAGCAAGCAGCCTCCTTGTAGAGAGAAATCTGCAGCCAACAAAATCAATCCCTAGCAAAGGGTAAGTAGAGAAGCCCTCTGCGTCTGCCAACCCATGATGAATAATCACTCTGTTCCCCCAGGCTTTTCCTATTCCCATCATGCTTCACTCACTGGCTACAGTCTGATCCCATCATTCCCTCCGTAAAGATGCGTATAGCGGTCTCACTGCTGGCAAAAATCCAGGAAAGGAAAAAATTGCATTTCATAAATGTGTAAAATAGTAAAACGGTTCTCATGTTCACCCTGAATTTTATTTTATTTTATTTCAAAAGTAAGAGTCAGATTTCTCAGCAAAAAAAGGAATTTCTGTTTGGGGCAAATTCACAATTTTATCTAAGGTGTAATAACAGCAGCACAGAAAGCTGCACTTCTTAGCAGAAATGACAGGTGTTTACAAAGCAATCCAGGAAATTATCTGCCAAATTACCAGGTGTCATGAAGTGAGAATAGGTCATTTCAGCCAGCACTATGCATATGCAGCAGAGACATGCAGAGCCCAAGTCTGAAAATCCCACCCCTTTGAACACTACTCTGAGAGCAGAGAACAGGCCTTTAGGGTAAGTAGACAGCAGCCCAGACAGTTAGACATGCAGGTGGTGGCTGCCTGCACCTATGAATGATTCAATGGGCACAGAACAAAGGTGGCTGAGAAGTACCCAACACAGAAAACTCTGATCAAGATATTTTCAGAATGTGTGTGTTATATAGACACCAGGTTGGTGTCTCCTTCTGCCCAACACTTTGTTGTGGCTGTTTGTAAAGCAGTGATGCAGAAGGTTGCCTAAAAGAGAGAGTCTGCTTTGTGGCTTGATCCTCCAGAGATATTTGAGCTCACTCTGGTATAGTAAAGGGAGCTGTTGTTTGATAACCATGTCAAGCTATTAGTATAATTCTGATACGACTGCCTGGCTTATTCAAGAGCCCTTGAAGAGCATGCATAATGTCATGGTTACAGGGCTAGCTGCATCACTCTGAATGCACCTCCACAAGTGATGAGCCTCAAGCTGTCACCTTTTGTGGGGTGAAACCCCTGTGATTCTCCCTTTCTTACACCAGGACCTCAGTTGCAGACCTCTGTGTGCTAACCACAGGCCAGAGTTTCAGTATCTGCAGTTCTACTTCTCAGGAGCTGTGAACAGTGGTATCCTGTGACCAATCAGCCTCTTCAAAATAAAGTATCATTTATTCTTAACAGTAGGAACACCACATAGCATAGGAAGAAAAGGAGGACTTGTGGCACCTTAGAGACTAACCAATTTATTTGAGCATAAGCTTTAGTGAGCTACAGCTCACTTCATCGGATGCAACTTATGCTCAAATAAATTGGTTAGTCTCTAAGGTGCCACAAGTACTCCTTTTCTTTTTGCGAATACAGACTAACACGGCTGTTACTCTGAAACATAGCATAGGAGAACAGTGTGGCTTATGTACCTAATGCTTACTTTCCCCCTGATGTGAGTCAGGTAGGCCTACCTTCTTCAGACTTCCTCCACAGAGCCTCTCTTTGTGTCAGGCTCTTTCTCTGACAACTGGTCCCCATTTCTCTTCAAAGAGGGACTTTTTAACTGTTTTGTCTCCTTCTGACCTTAGTCTGCCAGCCCTGGGAGGCGGGCCCTTCCTAATTAGCAGCCCAGCCATTGTTTTCCTAATGGTCCTTGTGGCATTTTCCCCAGAGGTATCTTACCTCTAGTCATTATCTCATTTCCTGCTTGCTTTTCCTAACAGCCCCTTTTGACTTAGCTCCATATAGTTGACAACAACTGCCCTTTCTGCTACTGGATGATCATAGAGCATGGAGCACAGAGCATTGCATCCGATGAAGTGAGCTGTAGCTCACGAAAGCTCATGCTCAAATAAATTGGTTAGTCTCTAAGGTGCCACAAGTACTCCTTTTCTTTTTGCGAATACAGACTAACACGGCTGTTACTCTGAAACCTGTCATAGAGCATGGATAAATGAATACAGAGTGCCCACCTCCTCCAAGCATAGTACCTACAGTATTAGCATTCGGAAAGATTGACATGTATCTTTACCTTAATATCAATCACTTGGAGATGACTCTGTCTCTGTTTTTCTTTTCAGGAGGTACATCTTGGTGAATGCTGAGACTCCTTCAATATCCTCTACCCCGCCTGTAAGCAGCCCACTGGAAGAGAGGTTACTGAGTGTCCGATTCCCCAAACAAAAAAAAAGGGTGCTTCAAACTCTGCCCCACAATGTGCACAAGCATTCTCAGCCTCCTGCAGCAATGCAACACCTTCTCGCTTTATGAAGGCATTTCCAGGAGTGGCTAACACCATAACAAGACCACTTTTCTAGTCCTGCAGATTGCATTTTGTAATGTGATCTTTTTTCCCAAGCTATATTGTTACCTGTTTTCTCTCTTTAATCTTGTGTTAATACTCCATGGTTGATACTCGTTAGCACCAAAGTGAATATTCAGTGAGCAATAATAGCCAAAGGGGGTCGCATTTTCTAGCTGTTAATTACCAGATAGGCTGAGAACTAGGGAGTAGGGTCCTGGAAAACTTTTATGCCAAAATCCAGCTTTTCTGGTTTCATTACCAGAGCAGAGCTCTCAAGGGTGTGCACTGACCTCTAGACCATTTCATGTGAACCTGGGACTGGGCTGGGCCTCCCAACAAACAGCATACCGTCTCCCTTAACCTGTAGCCATTTTTATGCGGGAGGGGACCTTTACTCCCCTAACAAAAGTCTTTGAGGAGGAGCTAGATGGTTCTCTCTTCCCACCAGACATTATCTGAGGAGCCGGCAAGCAGGCTTGCTGTGCTTCCCAATAACAGAAAGGTTTCTGAAGGATGCCTGGTAGCCCTACGCTACCCACCATCTGAGATCTGAGGTGATTCAGTCAGCCCAGAACTACTTGACAGGGCTTGCCTCCATCTAAAGATCTTGAGAGGGGGAGAGTGGCCCAGAACCCACTATGTGGAGACTCCAGAAGGCTGGTAAAGTCCACTAGCTCTTGCCCCCTCCTTGAAGATATCTGAAGTAAAATTTCAGTGTGGAGAGCCGGGGTGAACCCAACACTGAGGGCTGCAAAACAGATGAACTGAAATTCTCCCCCAACCCCAAATTGTTTTTTGTTCACTGAAGCCAACAGCTTTTATGTAGTCCTGCCTGAAAACTCAAGCCCTCAATCCAACCACCCATTCATTAATTGCCAGAAACTACCCAAGTCAGAGGTCAAATCACTCCAGTAAACTGTAAAAGTAATAAATGAATGGAATAGAAAATATCAAAGGTTTCACTCTCTGGTTTTGTCTTTCATTTGCACACCCAGCTTTTATTTCTTTGCAATATCAGCCTTTTCATACCAGCGAATTATGCTACAGTAGTGAACAGACAATGGTTCTCATCATTAGGCTAAGCTAACAATGTTATGTCTGTTACTGTCCAAGAGTCCTGCTAAATCAAAAAGAAAAGGAGTACTTGTGGCACCTTAGAGACTAACAAATTTATCTGAGAATAAGCTTTCGTGAGACCTGGTCTACCCTACAAATTTACATCGGTGTAACTGCATTGCTCAGGGGTGTGAAAAATCCACACCTCTGAGCAATGCAGTCATACCGACCTAACCCCCAGTGCAGGTCGACAAGAGGGCTTTTTCCTTCGACACAGCTACCGCTGCTCATGGAGGTGGATTAACTAGGCATGGTAGCACCTTGACTGAAGGGCTGCAGAGGCACAGTTGCACCAGTGATGCTGCAGCGCTGTAAGTGTAGCCACGCCCTCAGCCTGCCCTGAGACCAACCTTAGTCCTTTCCCCTCTCCCCCAACTAGGTAACTGTGCAAAGGATAAGGGAAACTGAGGCACACATAGGCTTCAGAAGAAACCTTACCAAAAATGCTCACTTTATCACATTAGGTAACGTAGACTGTGATTTTTTCCAATATGGTTATAAGATGCTTCTCAGAAGAAAATCTACCTAGAACCTAGCTATATTTACACACAGTTGTTTCTACAACAGCTTCAGCAGTGGTGTGGACAGGGCCTCGGTGTTTGAATGAGGGTGATCAGAATGTGGTTTAATGAGGCTATGAGCCAAGGTTATGGTAACTAGCCGTATGAGAGAAGGTTTTTGAAAAAGAGACTTATTCTAAGCAAGGAAGTATAGTGAAAATTAATCCATTGCTACCAGCAGGGCATTGACTGACAGGTTCTCAAGATTCACTCTATACTTGGCTGCACCTGTCTTGCCATAACAAGCCATAAACTTCCATAAACTGTTGCCTGGCAACAGTGCCTCTTCTCTGAATCCAGTCTTCTTAAACCCGGTCATTAAAACCCTTTTGGTTTTTAGCTACGCAGCCTCAAGTATTCCCTTTACTAAGCATAAATGACAATCGCCACTGCAGGCCCTTTTCTCTGTTTGGATTGCCTCATCTCTCTGCTAATGCCCGGAGTTGGCTGCAGGAAGTTCTGCTGCATGTGTGATCAGAGCTCCAATTTCATGTCTGGTTTTCTTTTGCTTTCACTGATGATGCACAGAATGTGAAACCGGGACCCTGAGCCTGTTAAAGGCATGTGGATTTCTGAATCATCATTGCTTTGGTAAAGCACTTCTTCCTTTGGAGCAGTTGGTTTGCGTGTGGGAGGTGCTTGGCTAGTAGTTCAAGACCATGACCCCTCAGGTCAGCAGAACCATTTAACCCAGAGAGCAGTCAGAAATTCTCACTGCTTAATTTATTTTAGATTTTAGATTGAGAGTGTATTTAATGCTCATAAAACTGAAGGCCCAAGACCTATGGCGGAAGCCAGCTGCAATGTGGGCAGGGTGTGTACCCCTATGCAGCTATTGTGATGCACCCCCTGCTTTTCCAATTGCAAGCTGCTGCACAGCTCTGTCAATGCACTGGAGACTGCAGCATGCTTTCATATTCATTTTTGGGCACCACCACCTCTGCTGCATTTCCCAATCCCTATCTGTGCATTACCTTCGATTCCAGCCCCGGACCCTAAACAGCTCTACCAATCCACATCCGTGTCCTCTACTACTCCGTTCCTGTGCCCTCTGCCTCCACACACAGCTCTGCCAAAGCACCTCTCTTCTGACCTATGAGCCCCCTGCTATTCCAGTCCCGCTCTCTTTGCCCAGACTGAGTATCAGAATACCATTCATTTAACCTTTATTATGCATTATGAAATGCTTTAAAATGATATTCTCTCTATCTGAGGGAAGGTTGCAGAATGCATATGTATAGCTAAAGATCACAGATTAAAAGCTATCAGAAGGGTTAAAACTTCAATTCAGAGATCTGTGTTTATGCAAGAGAGGATGAGATCACTAACATCTAAATCCTTGTGCGGCGATGCATTTCCTGAGTTTCATACACTGCTTTATATGTTAGTAAAGCGTCTGGCTGGCGGCCTTTCTAACGTGCCCACCAGAGTGCCTCGGCATCATGTTTATTATAGGTGGCATATGTAGCTCTATCTATAGGTGAAGTTTTCCAACACTTCCCGTTATAAGAGTCCATCTTCAGTTGCTTATAACTCTGCCAAACTTTAACCATTTGGGCTGAAATTTCCCATGCTGAGTGTCTACCTCAGGCTGATTTTTTGTGGAAAATTTCAGCAAAAACGGTTTAGCCATTTCTGAGAACAAGATTAGGGGGAAATACATTTTTTTGCCCGTGTTAATTAATTGGTTGTAAGACTTTTTTTTAGAAGCTCTCATGCCTCTATGCTTTGGATCAGGGACTTGAAATGTGGCAGGGGTGGGGGTCTTTCTGGTGTTAGGGTTGTGCCTTTTGCTGTTCCCAGGAAAAAGTGCCCAAATTTGGCCTCTGAAAAATCACAGTTTGCACATGCTCAGTAGAGACTTATTAGAGTCTGGCAGCCAAATTCACTTAAGGTTCCATCTTCTGTCCGGGGCCTGCAAAGGCTGGGCAGGACTTTTCCTGCAGTTGCTGCTGTCAGCTGCTGTGATGCTGGGCAACAGAACTGAGAGTAGGGAGACTCCGTCTCCTGGGCTGTCAATGATCTCCCTGTTACATGCTCTACCACCAACTCCACCTATAATTAAGAATATCACTGTAGCATCTCTCTCTATCCAGGGTATTTCTATGGCACCAATCACCAGAGCATCCGAATGACACCTTTTGTGCCTGGAGAAGGTCCAAACTCTCTCTGCTCCTTTGCTTGAAGCTGCTTTTCAGGGGATGGTCACTCTGGGTGGTTTTCTTCCGGCAAAAAGTTGTGGAGCCACTTTGCAGCCAGCGTTCTTGTGAGCAGGTCTGTGCAAGAGCTTCACCAATTGAGGGGGAACCCAAAACTCTGGTGGGTAAGTAAAGGAGGACATTTTTTTTTCAACTATTTTGTTTAATGTAATTTAATATCATCAATGTGAGGCCTAATCCTGAGGAACTTGGGAATTCAAACCTGTTATGGGAGCCAATGGGAGCTTTTCCTGCCTGCAGTCTGCAAGTTTAGCTGCATTTTTCTTTTATTGATGTGGGATCTCCAACAGGTGTGTTGTTGTTAAAGCATTTCAGGTCTCCAGCAGGATTCCCCTATCTATCTGGTTTCTACCGTACTAACTGTCTCTGGAACTGGAGTAGACAGAAAGCTTTTCTAGCTAGGCCTGAGTGCAGCCAGGCCCGCTTAACTCTGCAGCAAAACTAAAACATTTTTCAAAGTGCCATGCTTCTTTTGCAGCCTGATTTGTACCCAAATATTACTGATTTTCCTATTAGTGTCATTTGGTGACCCCTTGTTCTTGTGTTATGAGAAGGAAACACTTCCTTATTTACTTTCGCCACACCAGTCATGATTTTATAGACCTCATATCATATCATATCATATCATACCTCTTAGTTGTCTCTTTTCCAAGCTGAAAAGTCCCAGTCTTATTAATCTCTCCTCATCTGGCAACCATTCCATACCCTTAATCATTTTTGTTGCCCTTCTCTGTACTTTTCCCCCAATGTATCTTTTTTGAGATCGGGTGACCAGAACTTCACGCAGTATTCCAGGTGTGGGCGTACCATGGATTTAAATAGTGGCATTAAGATATTTTCTGTCTTATTTTCTATCCCTTTCCTAATGCTTCCTTACTTTCTGTTCTCTCTTTTGACTGCCATCACTTGCTGATCAGATGTTTTCAGAGAACTATCCATGATGACTCCAAGATCTTTCTCCTGAGTGGTAACAGCTAATTTAAACCTCATCATTTTGTATGCGTAGCAGGAATTATGTTTTCCAATGCGCATTACTTTGCATTTATCAGCACTGAATTTCATCTGTCATTTTGTCATCCAGTTTTGTGAGATCCCGTTGTAACTCTTTGCAATCTGCTTTGAATTTACCTAACTTGAGTAATTTTGTATCAGCTGTAGCCTTTGCCACCTCACTGTTTACCCCCTTTTCCAGATCCTATTAATATGTTGAACAGCACTAGCCCCAGTACAGATCCTTGAAGGACCCCGCTATTTACCTCTCTTCACTTTTATTCCTATCCTTTGTTTCCTATCTTTTAACCAGTTACTGATCCATGAGGGGACCGTCCCTTTTATCCCAAGACTGCTTAGTTTGCGTAAGAGTGTTAGATGAGGGAACTTGTCAAAGGCTTTCTGAAAGTCTAAGTACACTATATCCACTGGATCACCCTTGTTCACATGCTTATTGAAACCCCCAAAGAATTCTAGTTGATTGTTGAGGCATGATTTCTCTTCACAGAAGCCATGTTGACTCTTCCCCCAACATATCATGTTCATCTAGGTGGCTGATAATCCTGTTCCTTGCTATAGTGTCAATCAATTTGTGGTGTACTGTAGTTAGGCTTATCATCCTGTACCCAGGATTGCCTCTGCGGCCTTAATCTAAACCAGCGGTTCTCAAACTTCACTGCACCACAACCCCCTTCTGGCAACAAAAATTACTACACGACCCCAGGAGTGGGGACTGAAGCCTGAGCTTGCCAGCCGCTCTGAGTTGGGGGGCCCAAAGCCCAAGCCACGCCACCCCAGAGGGGAGGCCAAAGCCAAAGGGCTTCAGCCCCTGGCAGGGGCATGTAACCTGAGCCCTGCTATCCAGGGCTGAAACCCCTGGGCTTCGGCTTCAGCCCCAGGCGGTGGGACACGGGCTTCGGCCCCGGGTCCCAGCAAATATAATGCCAGCCCTGGTGACCCTATTAAAATGGGGTCACAACCCACAGTTTGAGAACCCCTGATCTAAGCAATAGGTTACATACCA